TTAGCTAAGTGCCCATTTGTGGCCTCAGCTCAAATGTATAGAATGAATTTGCTAACAACTTTATTTCCTCTATACGTGGGACATTTAGACTAGCCAGGTGCCTGCCTGCAGCTTTGTGCTTGTACATGTTTCATAAATAAACTTGCTCTTATTTCCACTATAGGTGTTTGTCTCTCACTTGAATTCATGTCTTGCGAGTGAGGCAGGAACTGAAGAACAAACTCAAGGGATGGGGAGAAGGGTGCCTCCTGACTTGGGTCTCTCCCTGGTAACACTGGGACAGCTCAGGTTCCAGGAGGGTAACTTCCAAATGTGGGGTGTGGGGTGTGCTCCCCGTGGTCATATCCTTCCAACAATTGACAAGACTTGTGGCCTTTCTAGGTACGATTTCTCCTGATTATAAAACTCACACATATTTATTGTAGCAAGTACAGAAAGAAGGGAAATTCAAGTCAGCCTCTCCACTGAGCAAGTTTGGGGTACATCCTTTCAGTACTCGCAGCGCTTATCTCCTGCAGGGCTCAATTCTGGGAACCAAATGCTGGTGTGGGAGCACAAGATCACTTGGTTCTGAGGCGTCAGAAGATGGGCAGCTAGACTTGGGGGCCGTGAATGTATGTGGAGTTACTTGCCCGGGAAGAGCTTCCCATGACCAAGGCCTTGTGTAGCCGCGAGGAAAGAGACAGGTGTGGGGCAGAGGTGAGACCTGTCCAGACTGGAGTGCCCACTTCTCTTTACAGAGGGTTTTTAGCCATGAGACTTACAGATTATTCATTCAGTCTTTTTCTAGGAGATTGGTGACATTTTAGTTTCTGTTCTGATTGCTTGTAAAAGAGTTACAAAACCCTCTTTGAGCCATTCTTTCTAGAACTCATGGCTTACAGCCTTATAGTTATACAGTAACTAAGGGCAGTGGGAATGGAGTGACGTCCTTGCAAAAGGTTACAGCAATTAAAATGGAACTCACATTTGTCATTGTCACATGAACCCAGCAAGGGATCCTTGTGGCCTGGCAGTCACCATCCTTGGCTTCACATGGGAACAGAACTCAACTGCCACACTGACCTTTGATCCTGCAGACAGCATTCCACATGCTGTATGGACACTGATCACTCAGGTATTGATCAGTCACACTAATCTCAGTGCAGGGGTACAGTGTGGCTGTAATTGAGGAGTTGTACGTGCATGTCACCAACTTGGGCCTTGAGAGAGATGTTTCTTGAGTGTGGTCCCTGCAGACAGAAGCACATGCTCTCAATGTGACGCTGTGTGCTCTGGACAGAAGGGACCTCACCAGTCCCTGGGCAGCCTCTCAGGTAAGCGTGGTCCTCTGCAGAATGTCACATCTCTGACCTCTGAAGAATGGTCTGCACAGCATCAGCCTGTCTGAGCAGATACTCGCCCTCTGGGAGGAGTCTTGTGCCATGTGGAAACCTCAGGCTTCCTTGGGCAGTGATTTTACTCAGAGAAGAAGGCCCAAGGAAGTCCCTTTCTGATATTAGGGTTTCTGAGAAGTGTTAGAGGAACCCAGAAAGAATTCTAGATTGACAAGAAGAAAAGGCATTTCTGAAAGTGAATTGGTGTCACTGTTCCTTGTTTTTCATAGCTCTGAGCCATCACCATGTTTTTGTTTGAGTAAGGGGGCATAGGTTTTCCTGACAGCAGTTTTCACTTTAACTCTTTGTCACATTTTGCACCATCGCCTGTTCCCCACCCCTTTTCCTCCTAAGTCTCAGAGCTCTCCCCTCTCCTCATCCCACCTTGGACTTTGAAGTGAGTAGCCTTTGAGTGGAAGGTTAGAGTGGAAGGTCAATTTCTTCAAGCTGTGTAGGCTGATTGTGCAGTCACATGTGTCTGTAGACGTACAAATGAATTCTCTCCATTGCGAGGGGTGGGGGGACCTGATTGCCTCCCATGGAAAAAGCCAGTAGTGTGCCTGTTGGAAATTCTTTTTAGTATTTCTTTATTCCATATATTTTTTTAATTGACCTGAAGTTTTAGAAAGCTCGGCCCAATTATTCATAGTCCTCCTAGAGGACTCTGGCTACAGAGGACATGATGCCTCATGTGACGAGGGTAGAGGGCCACAGAGCAATGTTGGGGGTGCAGGCCCATGAGTTGGGTGCCCAGGGATTAGGGCTGCAGAATGGGACCACTGCCCAATGTTAGCATGAGCACAGGCTCTAGGCCTCCTTGCTCTCTGTCCATGTCTGCCTTCAATTCTGCTCTCTGTGTGGGGCCAGAGACCCACAAGGTGGGTTGAGTGGGTCAAGCCCTGTGTCCTGCAGCTGCCGTGAGTGGCTTTTGGACTTAAGCTGGGGTTGGATCCTATGACTAAGCGTCCCTAGGTGCTCACTGCAGCCTGGAGGACCCATGTTCAGCTCAGGGACCCTTCTCAAGGTTCAGTGGAGTTTACTTGCTCTGATGGAGGTGGAAGAGAGGAGAGCTGTAGAGGGAGTGGTTTGTTTATTTGAGTTGGGGCCAGCAGCCTAAGCATTAGCTGCCAGAAGAGCCAGAAAAGTGGCAAGGACCATTCCTGGTAGCTCTCGGTACAGTAGTGTGGAGGGGGTGGAGGAGTCAGGTATGAGGGCGCCTGTCATACTCAGAGCTGGGAGGTTACATGGACACTCCAGACCTGTGGCCACCTGCAGCTTGTCCCAGATTAAAGGCCTGTGCAGACATGTCTGCATTAGAAGGAGTTTCCAGGAGAGACTTTTGTTTTTAGTGTGTACAATATTTAAGCTATTATATCCTCCTCCAGAAAGCCTGTCATGCAAACTGAATTGCTTTGAGGGTGAGGGTGGCATTGGGTACTTGGTCCGTGCCCCCACCCAGCCCTGGGAGCCCTCCCCAACCTTCCCATGTTAGGAAGATGCCGTAGCTTCACCTTTCACAATATAAACATTGTGCTTACAAGAGGCAATTTAAAATGAAATGCTTAAGAAGATTAAAATAAAGGGTCCGGCAGAAGTAAGGCCTGCTCGAGAGTGGTTGGCAGGGTAATAATATGGGTGTAATGATTTATAGTTGTAATTTGAACATTTCACCTAAAGCATCATATGGTGTGCTTGAGTATGATATTATTGTGTTAAGGAATTACACACTTATGATTTTGTAATAAAAGCTTTTGTAATAAAAAGGGGCTGTTACTTGTGCTAGACCCTGTATATTCTAGAACTTGCATTGAAATGGAAAACCAACTCACTTAAGAGATCACTGTTTCCAATGTAAAGCAGCTCTTATGGAAAAGCTATGTCACTGCATTCTTTGTGTGGGGACAACAATTTTGTGCTTCCATTGCCACTGTGGGCCCATTTGTCTAGGAGCCCTGGGGATACTGCCTGAACCTAGAATGGCCTCTGTGAGTAGCTGACCTCTGGGATTGCATGTCCTCCTATGACAACAGGGACCAGGTGATGTTGGGAGATCTGGCTTTGCATCACAGTGTGGTTGGAGGTGCCAGAGGTACCACTGCAGAGCTACAAGGGGCTCTGTGGTCTTCCAGGGTAGGGTTCACGTGGATCTCTGTCTGGGGAGTCACATAGCCACAGGATATAATTTTCTGTTCACCCCTGACTTTTTCTCTTAGACCCAACCTCTTGAAGCCCAGACTTGCTTATGCTGAGACCATGAGGGCAGATAGGTCACTACTGTCAGTTTGTGGTTGCAGGGCTGCCTGGTCTTTAACACCCCGAGGCTTTGTCTTACCAAGTGTGCCACCTGCATGGTGTCACCTACATTCTGCGTGCTGCGATAGGGCTCCACGAGTGTGAGGGGGGTGCCCATCCATAGGTAGTAGCATGCTTCAGTTTCAGCAAGTGGCCATCGGTGTCTTACAGAGCTGAGAATGGAACCACTGTAGATGTAATTAAACGACACTGGAAAGGGAGTTAATTACTTCTGTAATGTGCCAGAGACCCAGCTGCAATGCAGTGAAGCTGTCACTTGGACAGACACCAGGGCCACCCCTGAGAGAGCAGGGTCCTCTGGGCACTGCCCTGGCCAATGGTGAGTGGTCTGAGCTTTTAGTCTGTGAAGACTGGCATGGGACACTGAAAATTCATGATTCACTGATGTAGGAAACTACACACACTAACTTTGTCCCTAACACCGATCTGTGTGAGGCATTAGCCAAACATCATCTCAAGGTTTTTGGTCCAGATTATGTTACAGGAACAGCAGGAACCTGATGAGGAGGCCAGTGCACAGCCGTGTGTCCAAAAGCTGCTGTAACAGGACAGAGAACCCTAGCACTGCCCGGACACCTAGGGGCTGGCCCTGGGTCAGACATCCATGGGCACTGCTGCTCTGTCCACTTGCTGAATGTGGGACTCTGAGGAGCCAGGACCCAGGTGAGCAGAGGGCTGCCATCCAGGACCTCTGTCCATAACAGTTGCTCAACTCTGACCTTGTTGGGTCCATTTATAGTGACCAGAAGCTTCCACACCTTCAGCTACACCTGGACTTGCACTGGTTCCTGCATCAGAGCACATGTGGTAATACCACACATAGTATGCAACTGGTTCATGCTTTATGCCTGTGCTGTCCAGTGCTGTGGCTGTCCCCACCCATGGGTGAAGTGGTCCACATGTGGCCAATCAGAGCCAAGCAGCACAGCACTGCAGGTATAAACACCCAGCAGGCAAGGAGGCCAAGGCCCAGACTTGGGACTCTGTTACTTATGTGTCGGAGTGATAGTGTGTTGGGTTTCTATTGGGTTAAATAAAATACATTATTAAAACTTGACATTTGCTTTTAACTCCCTGAATGTGACTTCTAGGAACACCTGGAATCACGCATGGGGCTTGCAAGTGCAGCTCACCCTGTGCTTCTATTGCAAGCACAGACCTAGACAGTCCTTCAGTGGCCTCTGCATTTGAGCTCCCCTTTCCCTCAAGGCCCAGCCTTTGGGTTGGTAGGCACTGATCAGTAACAAATGTCAGGTTTTGAGAGTACCTTCAAACCCATTGTAAGAGCTATTATTTTTTGCACTTCCACAGACAATTATTGATAGACTGCTGGGTCCTATCAAAGATAAGGGTTCCCTGCTCAGTCTGGTTTCTCCTGCACAGGGAACCCACACTCTGCTTTGGTGAGTATGCCCTTCCCTGAGTGGCTCCCCATTCTCTAGGTGTTCTCCCCATTTTCTATGCATAAAGAGACATGCAGTGTGTATGCAGCTTGACTTTTTCCACTTCAGCCATGTCCTGCACAGGGTGGTGGTGAGCAGAGCCTGCATGTTTGCATGGGCCAATGTAGCACTGCCTTGCCCTGTGGGAGGAGGCAACACCCATTAACCATCTGCTTCTCAATGTGCAGTCGCCTCCTCGGGGGTCTTGCTGTTGGTGCAGCTGTGCAGCACATGCAGAGTCCTGGGAAGCTACCCGCAGGCATTCCCACATCTGGTCAGCTATTTATAACCCGCAAAGGCCTGTTTTTCTCAAAAGAGTGGGCGTGTGGCGATGCTGTCATGCACCCGGGTGAAGCCAGTGAAACAAACCTTTCATTAAGTGACTTTCTGGTACACTGGGCTCGTTTTCATCCCCATGCACAGGCCTCAGGTTTCAGATCTGCCCTGCTGCTGTTTGACTGCATGTATGGAGCCTAGTTGGAGCTCTGTGGCCCCCAGTGTGGCTCTGGCTCTCCCAACACTGGTGGAGGGGCAGCTTTCTTCAGGCCCATCTCTCCAGTGTACTGAACTTCCTCCCTGTGCCTGGCATGCTCTGGGCACTGGGCCCTCCACATGGAAGAAGCATTCTAGTGGCCAGGAAGACGGACTGCCAATGAGATCGGTAGGTCAGATAGAAGGAGTGAGATGTGATAGGTGCAAAGGAGAGAACTCAGGTCAAGAAGGGGCAGCAGGAGGCCCTTCTGAGGAGGGGTAGCTGATTGAGGAAAGACAGGAGCTAGGCTTGACTGTGGGGAGGAGTATTCCAAGTAGCAGGAATGGCAGGTGCAAAGGCCCTGAGACAGGAGCATGCCTTGGGTCTTGGGAGCCCAGGATTTGGACAGGACTGCAGGCTTCCAGGGAGGATGAACCATGGAAGAGGTGCAGGGAGCCCCATTAAGTGGCTGCAAGGTAATCCTGGAGAGACATGGTATGGGCCTGGCTGTGGCAGTTGGGATCGGAGCATGGTCTGATTGGGCATTTATTGGGAGGTGGGGCTCAGGGGACTTACTGCCATGTTGAATTTGAGTTGGGGTGAGGGTCGAGGATGCACCTAGGTTTTGGCCAAGCACCTGGAAGGATGGAGGGCCCACGTACAGACCAGTTCCCCTAGACTATCAGGAGGCATTCACCCTTGGGATGTGGACAGTGAGGCCTGGAGACATGTGAATTGTGGCAGGGAGGAGGCCTAGGAGTTGGGGAGACATCCAAGGACCAGCCCCAGGGTGGATCCCTGCTGGACCATCGAGTCTCCCAGAGGGCTGCCACCTCACCTGGGAATAGGCTTCATTAATATACCCATTAGATGAGTGAGGTTGGCTGTGCAGGACACAGAGTGGGCCCAGCCCTGGGGAAGCCTCCATCAAGATTGGAAGGACAAGGACAAAGGCATTCAAGGGTGGGGGGATGAGGTTCCCTGTGGTGCCAGGCTGCTCACAGGCGAGATGGTCTTTGATGGGTGGGAGCCTCAGATAGGTGGATGCATGGGAAGGAGAGGATGTAGTGGCATTCAAGGGCACTAGTCTTGGGGTGCACCCCAGCTAAGCCCTGTGGGGTGCTTTGAGTGGCTGAGCGCTGAGGCAGCTGGTGGCGGGCATCTGACTGTGGGTAAGGCAGAGCTCACTCATGCTGGGACGTAGCCAGGCTTTGGGTAGGACTGAGAACAGCATGGTGTGGGGCACAGGAAGTGGGTTTAGGAAAGCAGCACCTCCCTCCTCCCATATGAGACTCACATGGACACTCTCCATTCCTTCATCAGCTCCTTTTGCTGCCTCCTTTGAAAGGCATGGTAACCCAAGGTCAGGGATGCCCCAAACCTTTGAGTCAAGCAGCAAGGCTCATTTTCACAGAGAAAATGCTGTGGGCAGAAAAGTTTGCACACTGTCCTCATTCAAATATGAGAGGTCCAGTTGTGTTCACAGAGACAAGATCATGTGTCCTGTCTTCTTGGCTGCACTGGGAGGAGAGTTGATCACCAACCAAGCAGTGCTCCATTATGAACTTGGACCTGCTCCCCTTGTAGCCTCTCCTTCAGGCTCCAAGATTGTTTTTTTGGTCCTTGGTAGGAAGCTCAAGAATAGATCCAAAGAAGGCAGATTTTAATCCCTGGTACCTCTGTCGCCTTATGTGGAAATAGGGTCTTTGCAGAAGAGAGTCAGTTAAGGATCTTGAGATGGGGAAGTGATCGTGGGTTGTCTGGTGGGCCCTAATGCCATCACAAGTTCCCTCATGAGAGGGAAGCAGGAGGAGATTGAAAAGACAGGAGGAGAAGCTGATGTGAAGACAAGTAGAGAATCGAGTAATGGGGGTGTGATGGCTGAATTTGTGGGTCAGCTTGACTGGGGCACAGGATGCCCAAATACCTGGTCAGACATGACTCTGGGTGTGTCTGTGAGAGTGTCCTGGAGGAGATTAGCATTGAGTGTGTACAATGAGTAAACAGATGCCCTCCCCCATGTGGGTGGCCTCATCCAATCAGTTGAGGGCCTGAATAGAGCAGAGAGGCAAAGGAAAGGAGAATTCCCTCTCTGTCCTGCATTTGAGCTGGTATGCTGATCCTCTCCCACCCTCAGATGTGGACTCCAGCTGTAATGTACACCATTAGCTCCCCTGGGTCCCAGCTTGCTGACTGCTGATCTGAAGGCTTGTCAACCTCCATGATCATATGGTCTGATTCATTATAATAAATCTTTCTCTCTATATCCACATCCTGTTGTTTGTTTCTCTGGGGATCCTCACTAATGCAGTGGCCAAAAATCAAGGTCTGCCAGTAGCCACCAGAAGCTGGAAGAGGCAGGAAAGATTTATCTCCAGAGCCTCTGGAGGGAGTAGGCTCTGCTCACACCTTGATTTCAGCTCAGTGAAACTTATTTCAGACTTTCAACTTCCAGAACTGTGAGAGAATAGATTTCTGTTGTTCTAAGCCACCCAGTTTGTGGTTATTTGTTAGAGCTGCCACAGGAAAAGAACACAGCCACTATAAACAGTGCTACTGTAAGTACCCTGGCCGAGTTCACAAGGCCATCATTTAGTGCATGTCACTGCTGGGCCAGGGTGTGTTCCTCTTTGTTTATAGATCTTGCCAGATCAGTTTTCAAAAAGATCTAACACCTTGTCTTTTTGTACATGGGCCCTGACCCCAGCATGCTCCCCCAGCAGTGGTTGTGAGGCTCTTTCCACTTTGTCTCCTAGGAGGGCACCTTTGTTACCTGACACGTGTCTCTCTGAGTCCTGATGAGCTTAGGACCTTTGCTTGAAGGCCCCCACAGGTTTGTATTCCTTTGTCTGTGACTTGTCTGTTGTGTACTTGGCCCATGTTCCTCTCAGAAGGTCTCTCCCTCTCTCACCCATTTGTAGTGGTTGTTTGTTACAGAAATTGATGATTCTCTTCTGCCCTGAAAACATCTATTCCCAATTCTATTGTTTGATAGTTACTTTTAATAATATGTCATTTGCCATCAAGGTTAAATCATTTTGCATTTGAATATGTCTCTCTCTTTATGACTTCTGGGTACCTGTGTTTGTTAGGAAGATGACACAGCTCTCTCTTGGTCTGCTGGCTGGTGTATTATTGTTTTGTGTACTTGAATTCAGTTCTTGAGCATGTCTAGAATGTTCTTGCATAATATAGAATAGGTTGTCCTTATCACAACTTGGGAAGGAAGTCCAGTGAGATTTTCTTCCAGGGTGCCAGCACTATTCAATAATCCATTCTTGGACCAGTGAATTGAACTTCAGTCAACTCTGTGGTGTATTACAGTCTTGTATAAATTGGTTCTGCTTGGGGGCTTCTCCTTTCCATCCCACTGGCTTGTCTCCCATGTGCCTACCTCATACAGGTAGCAGCTGTGTAGTGGAGCTGGCGAAGGAGCCTCCCCGGTTGCTCTGTGTACCCCGGTGCTCTGTGTACCCTGTGGGTGTCACAGGAGTGCCTATGCACATGCACCCATGACTCCTTGCATACGTTCACATGTTTCTCATGGCTCCTGCATAGAGGAATATTTGTGTGGACACACCATGGCTGTGCTGCCTTTGGCAGTGAGGAGGAAGGTAGGGTGGAAGTGGAGGGTAGGCCAGGTGAAACAGGATACAGAGACCATACTGCTGTGTAAAATGATCCCTCTGCACTCACAAAGTTTTAAAAGGTTATTGAACAATTGAAATTGCCGTATCCCAGGAATAAGGCACTGAGCAGAGAGCAAGTTTTTTATGGGAGAGTGAAAAGATAACACATTGCACCAGCTCTACCATTGTGTCAGGGACATGCCACGGCATGGGCTTCTCTGCGCATGGGTGTTCTTAATCTCTTCATGGTGGGGCATGCGTCTGTGTGGCGGGGTACTTGTACCCTTGGCACATGCAGATATAGCTGTTCCAGGAACCCTGTGTCTGACCTTGGCTGCCCTTAGGAGCTCACACCTGGGCACTGGCTCAAGCTCTCTAGACACAGGCAACCCCCCCGTGTCTGCAGATGCATTCTCTGTCCCCCAAATGCTTTCTGTGTCCCCTAGATGCCCTCTATACCTGAGCTTGCGATATGCTGCCCAAGCTGGACTGGCCACACCCATGCGGGGGACCTGGTGAGGTCAGGCTTACCTTCTTGTGGCCCTGGCCCTGCCCATCCTGCAAGTGGAAGTATACCTTGAGGTTCACACAGTCAGCCCCACCCAAGCCTGACAACCAGCAGACTCACATACCTCAGCAGGGGTGGGTGTGGGGTTGGGTAGGGTGGGTATATGCACTGCAGGCCTGGGGCTGTCCAGTCACTCTATGTCCTAAGTAGGTCCTCCTTTGGCAGCTGCTGGTGGCCCAGCCTGCATCACAGGTGGCAGTCATGGACAGGTGGGGTCCACACTTTGCAGAGTAGGCTCATTTGTCTCACAGACACCTGTATGACCGGAGGCTCTGCAGGAACAACCAGACTT